TGCACGGATTAATTTGATTTCCATTATTTCTTATGGGGAAAATTCATTCGCATAACGATTATTTCGCATAACGATGAGCCCTCTTGCACGGATTAAAATCGTTAACCGGGGGTCCACTGTATTGTATTACTACTACTAATATTATTACTACTACTACCACTATTATTACACCTCACTCTCAACCTATATATACCCCCTGTGTCCATGTCTTGTTTGTAATGGCTTGATAAAGCTCCTGGAGAGCAAAACGTTACCACAATAAAATGTCACATTAGTTGCATTTGTGTCCTTTTACTTAACAACTTAAGTACTTTATGTATTTCAATAGTGATTAATTCAAAATGCAATCCCTGGATACCCAAAATATGAGATTCTACTATATAGAGTACATTAAATTATTATTGTTACTATTATTATTATTATGTACAGTAAAACCTTGGTAAAAGAAAGCTCTACAAAGTGATTATCTGGTAAAACAGACAAAAAAAATTGACCAAAGGCTCAACATGTCTGCTTAATGAGGCATCTGATAAAAATAGGAATGCAGCAAACCAAATCTGCCATATTGCACAGCTGTCTGGATTGGTCACACCATCAATAAGTTGGATTAAGTCTGATTAACTGCAAGTTTTTCCGGTCCAAGTTTCACCATGGACATGTCCATTTTCATTGTTCCATGGAAGCAGGACCAGTGACTCAGCCCATGTGTTTGTTATTGTCTGCTCACACACTCACATACTATCATCATTTTGATTCCAATTTTCCCTTGATTTACAGTGTTTTCCATTAATTTATTAAAGCACTCTATTGAGTATTATTAACCATGGCCTCTAAAGCAAGTGATAGTGCCTTGACTGTTAAGCAGAAACTTGAATTAATAAGGAAGCTGGAAGCAGGTATTTTAGTGGCCCAGATATGAGAGGAATATGATATAGAAAAAACAAGTCTCTAACGGTAGATCGCAAGGAACAACTTACAGTATATGCTATAAAGGACAGTGTAGGGAAACCTAAAAGGTTCTTCATTACTTCCTAGGAAGTACATATAACAATGGCCCAAGATACAAAGATTGAAGCAGCAGTGCATAAATGGTATGCTCAACAGCACACTGCTGTGTTAATGTTTGCTCTGTTGAACTTCACTCTATAGATAAGAAGCTAGTAAGTCACAGGGGCATAGAGCTCGGGGCAAGTTGTAGTTGGCTTAGTCACTTCCATAAATAATATGGCTTAACAGAAAAAAACCCTCAATAAAGGTTCCTTGATGCTGGTGAGGGGTTATTGATCTAGGGAATTGGATCTGTGCTCCAGTTCCCTGAATTAAACCTGAATACCTTCCACATCCCCCCATAGGCACTGTATAATCCTATGGGTTTAGCGCTTCCCCCTTGATTATTATAATAATAATAACAGAAAAACTTAGGGTGAGGCTGGCAGTGCACACCAAGACAAAAATGACTCATTCAGATTGTTAAATGATCTGATGGAGAATGAAATGATCCTTCTATCTCAACTGAACAATGCTGATGATACTGGTCTCTTTGTATTCACTACCTTTCCATACCTCAGCCTTTAAGAATGCAGAAAGGATACTAAGCCGTACACTTAGTAAGGACTGCTTCTCATTATTATGCTGTGGTAATGCTGACAGTATGCAATGCTTGAAACTTAAGGTCACTGGCAAATCAGCATGACCACAGTCTTCAAGGAACTGAATGAGTTATTATAATCATGGGGAGCGCTAAACCCATAGGGATTATACAGCACCTGTGGGGAGGGGGGTGCATGGAAGGTATTCAGGCTCAATTCAGGGAACTGGAGCACAGATCCAATTCCCTAAATCAAGAGCCCCTCACCAGCATCAAGGAACCTTCCTTGACAGGAAATGAGAGAGTTGCCAGTCCAGTATTACAAGAGTAAGAAAGGATGGTTTGACAGGGATATATTTTTTGACATTTTTTTAAACATTTTGTTTTTGAAATAAGCAAGTAGTAACTAGTGAACCTTACACTTGATCCCGACAGAGTCAACAGTCAGCTCGTGTTTGATAATGTATCTGTTCATCCGAGGACTAAAAATTAATCAGTAGTTATGATAGACTTAAGACCATGTTGCTACCTCCTAATACCACCTCCCTGATACAACCTATGGATCAGGGAATTATTGCAGCCTGCAAGATCTTGTACTAGTCAGAATACTTTGATGAAATATTGAAGATTTGGAAAGAGATAGCAGAGGCCAATGGACATAGGAAAATACCAAGTATAACCTAAAGTCTGCTGTCTTCAATGTTGCGGCATCATGGAAGGAACTGAAAAAGAAAACATTAGCTAATGGTTAGGAGAAATTGTTAAATAATGTTGACATTAAGTTGGACTTTGAGGGGTTCCAGGCCACTGATTTTCATCAAACCCTTCAGAGGGTGGGAGATATAGACATTACAGAGAAAGAGACAAAGCTATTGGTACTCCACATATGAACAGGATAGTGATGACAAAGAAGAGACTAAGGTTACCAAAATTGTCAACAGTTTGAGATGTGACTAATGTCCTCATCACATACACTGTCCTCTTGCAAAAAGAGAAGCACAGGCCTATTATCAGAACTTCTGCACTTTGGGGAAACATATAAGGGCATAGCATCAACATGCCAAACAAATGAAGCTAGGTTCATTTTTGAGACTTGTTCTTCATTCAACACCTCCCAAACCATCTACCAGTAGGCCCAAGCCATCTATGTAACCTCAGTCATCTCTATTTGCTGAACTGTCTATATCTTCCACACCAGCTGTGATGTTACTACTGGAGTTTTACACTTCTCTGACTTGGAATAAGTTATTCTGTGTCACCACTAGATCACACAGGAATACTGTTCATCTGTAAGCTCATCTATCAATCAGAAAACGTAAGAAAAGTCACTGTTACTGTACACTATGCATTGTACAATACTTTTAACTCTTTTTCTTTTCTGGTACAGGTACTGTACTGTACAGTATTGCATTGTAATACTGTACTCTGGTTTATTCTTACAATGTCCAGTAGTTCATTAATACAGTCGACTATGTCTGCTTCCTTGGTTGTTTGTCCAGTAGTTGATTAAGTGGACTGTCTGCTTAATCAAAACTTTCACTATAATGGATTTTCACTACAATGGACACCCCTTCCCCATTAATCCATTATACAGAGGTTTTTCACTGCATAATCCTTTGGTATAGGTGTGGTGGGTTCCTATTGGTTTGGTCCAATTTTTTCCAGAAATGTGAAATATTTTGTATTATATTTTTCTAAAGCTGTTATCCAAAATTATTTTATATTTCTCTCATAATAAAGATAAACATACTAAACTACGGAAAAAAAAAACTCCTCCTCCTCACATAGCCTAATTACGAGAGATATCTGTCTTCATGTCAAGTTTTCATATTGGTCAGTCACAATGACATCCAATTAATCATTGGATGATTAAGAGAAGCACTCACTGTAGTGTAAGATGCAATACAAACACATACAGGCCTTTAATATTACAGTAATTGGGTATGTAAGCCAAGCAGGAAAACTGACCTGTTACATGACATAAGCCAAGGTTCTGGACGTAAAGCAGTAGGGTTCGTACAGCTTGTCAGGCAGTTGTAGCCCTTTACTCCAATGACAAAAGTGAAATTGAATATGTGCAAAAAAAAAAAAAAAAAAAAAAAAAAAAAAAAAAAAAAAAAAAAAAAAAAAAAAAAAAAAAAAAAAAAAAAAAACTACACGGTATTTTAATTGCACAACAACTGAGGAAGTAAGCTGCCATAGTCATTCTCAGCTTGCAGACCATCTCCTGTCTCCAGTTGGGCAACAGCTCTATTTATTGATGATCTCTCTCCCCCAGCTATACACAGTGCACCACCTTCTGTTTGTGTTTCTAGTTTCTCTCCTGGATAGGAAAAGCTTTGTGGGTTACCTCAATATCCTTGCCCTTGCATGCAGGGTAACTGGATGTGTCACAAAGTTGTGGCTTGAAGTTCATATTAATCACTTTACTCAAAATCAATTACAGGAAAAATAATTATTAGTTGTGTGAACCTTGAGCTACACCTGTAACAAGCATAAAGTTAGTCCAGTCAAAGACAATATGCAAGAAAGAAAAGTAAAAAGTTCATCTTACTACAATTTACAAAGAAAAAGGTGAAATGTGTATCCCACTATAACGTACAAGAGTAAAATACTCGTCTCCCTATAGTTTCACTGGAATTATCTCAAAGACATTAAAGTGTCACATTAAACCTGTATATTTAAAAAAAAATCTAAGAAGGGGAAGCAACTGACTGACCACTCTCTCAAAACTCACAAGCAATTATAATGTCTTATCCTGAGCTGCATTTATGTACAGGTGCAAAGTTATCTGAACCTATTCCTCCTCACCTCAGTACAGTGCCTATATTCTGAAAGAGGGGTGGAGATATTGCAATCTGGAGAGGCATCTGAGCTGTAATGTCAGCACATCTACAACAAAACAGTTACAAAGTGGTGAAAGCGTTTTTTCTGTTTCGGGTCATCCTATTGCAATAAGACAGCCAGTGTGTTAAAAAAAATAGTAGAAAAGATCTGAAAGGCGTAAAGATGCCAATAAGCATGTAGTACAAATACAGTGGACCCCCAGTTAACGATCTTTTTTCATTCCAGTAGTATGTTCAGGTGCCAGTACTGACCGAATTTTTTCCCATAAGGAATATTGTGAAGTAGATTAGTCAATTTCAGACCCCCAAACATACACGTACAAACGCACTTACGTAAATACACTTACATAATTGGTCGCATTTGGAGGTGATCGTTATGCGGGGGTCCACTGTACTTATAGCAGTACACAAATAACCCGCACAAAGGAGAGAGGAGCTTACGACGACATTTCGGTCTGACTTGAACCATTTACAGTATTGGGATATTTTGGTGGAATATGTATTTAATTAACGAAGTCTGACTGTTTAGTACTGACATACTATTTGTAAATAAATATACAGAGTACTGACTTTTATTTTAATTTATTGGTTAAAAAATGCACAATATTTTATTTCACTTGTGTATAATACTGTACATGTAGATATATTTATTTCTAAGTTTACAATATTTATATACATTATCACTGCACTATGTATTTATTGGTATGCATACATGCAATTCAGGTAATGTACTGTACTGAGGCAATTTTTTTTTTTTACGATTCCTCTATTAATTACCATTTTCCTCTCTTCGCCCAGTCTTTCGGGGTCCAGTGTAAGTATTTCGAGTCAATTCTGATTTTTCTCTTCTCCATAATTTTTCTATGGCTTTCAACTAAATCTTTATTTAAAGTTAAAATGTACTGCCCACGATAATAATTTATTAATTCTAAATTAGTTAGTGTCGATATAACATCTTCCTTCTTGATGCTTGTCTGCTCGCAGATCTCACTGAAAATATGAAAAAGTATTATAAATGTTTGTTAATATCTCTTAATTTTTTTATATACACTACAATAAACATTAATATTAATACAAGACAATGTGTAAAGGGAAACCATTATTAACCCTTTGACTGTCGAGACCCCAAATCCTGAAGTGTCTGTGTCACAAAATATTCGAAAACAAAAAAATTATTTTATCTTATGAAATGAATCTTTTCCCGATGGTAATGACACAAAAAGTATGAAATTTGATGGAAAACTTATGGAATTACGCTCTTGCAAAGTTAGTGATCTCGGAGATATATATGCATCAGTGATTTTGCCCACTTTGAGCCCTATTTTTAGCCAATTCCATTGCTCCAGTTGACTAAACTCATAGCTTTTCCTTTAGAACTCCATTTGTTCTATTGATTGAGTACAAAAAACTGCCCATTTACCGATTTCAACTACCCAATAAAATGGTCAGAAATTGGCAATTCAGCCAATTTCAAGCAAATTAAAAAAGATGCCAATTTCAAAATAGGGTCCAGAATAAACAATGCAGACATTTTTCGGCACTAAAATAACATTTTCTCTGTTCATTAGTCACGTCTCTAGGCTCCTCTTACATTACTCTTGCTTTCTATTTTGAATTTTTATTCACACAAAAAACAGAAGATTTACTGTTATGCAGACTACTACATTACTGTAATAATTGTATAAATAATGTCAACGCATTTGTGACTGCTTATAAGAATGGCTAGTTGGACACTTACTGGACGGTGACGTCATTTGTTTACTCTTGGACATTGGCAAAAATTGAACATTTCCACTACTTTGAGCTCAATTTCAAGGTCCTTTTCATCATGAAACCAATCAAAACTATCTCTATTTCTGTAATATGTCTTTCATTCTATCAAATGAGACCAAGAAAATGAGAATATAACCATAAATACATGAAAATACACCTCAAAGTCAGTGTTTTAATCCAAAAACACGGTTTGAGTTCTTTTTTCTGATTATGCACTGCGTGCTGCAGAATTTTTTTATACTGCGCACACTGACCACACAGACCCCTTCTCTCACATGTGGGCCTACCAGCTTTCTCCTGCTTGATTTGAAGCCATTAGAATTTTGGCGTATTAATACGTCACCAGCACTGGCTCGTAAGACGTATACATATGACACTAACAGTCAAAGGGTTAAGATGTTTCGCCCAGGACTGGACTTGATCAAGAAATACTCAAAGTTCAGTCCCTGAACAAAGTATTGTCAGTGTCAAAACATTGTCATTCTCACTACCTGTCAGCTTATGCCATTGTTTATACAAAAGGATTGGAATCCTGGAGATGCTGAATGCAGTGCCTGTATCCTAAACGAGGTGTGAGTGTTGCAATTTCACGTATCATATAATTTGAACTGTTATGTTATACACTTACGGCAAGACAGCTTTTGAATGAATGATAGCAAATATTTCCTTCTTGGGTCAACGTACCCTGGGAGGAGATGGTTGGTGTAGTTAAAAAATAAAAAAATTGCACGTCACAAAAGTGGTCAGATTTATATTTAAACTGCTTAATTTTTGTTTAAACAATAAGTAACTTTATGACTAATTTTAAAAAATTTCTTGTGTGGGATGAACTTTTTAAAAAGTAATGTTCTTAACTCATTGCAAGTAGTGTTGTAAGCCCTACCTAGTATGAGGTGCTGTCACTCTTTGTTAAGTAACAGGTATTCATCCTTTAATTTATCATTACAGTATTTTGTTTTTAACACAGCAATTTCATACAAGACAGTGACATCCACTATTAATTCTGACACTATTCCTACACATAAGCAAAAATAATGCTTTTATCATAAATGATTTCAGCCACTGGAATTTGCAAAAATTTTCAATAATCATTACCATCTGTGTAACCCAACATTCTACCTTTTCTCCGTGCTTATTAGATTATCTGTGAAATTAAATTTTGATGGTTATCAAAATCAATCTAGTCCTAAGACTATGCTTTGGTGAATGCATTTGTGGTCTGCAGGCCCACAGATATCAACCCAATTGATTAAAAACCTCTAATTCCTTTCTGACTAGATTCTACATCTACTGTATTTCTCACCCTACTACGTTATTTTAGTTTGCAGACCAGGGGCTTGACCTTGGAGTATCTATTACCTTTCTATGTAGTATATAAAACAGCAACTAACATTTAACAAACAGAGGCAATTATAAAACTAACTTCAACCAAAAGCAGACCCACTTGATTGTTAATTGCGGCTTTTCTTGCCCTTCTTGAGGTTTGAGTGCTATTAGGATCTCGAGTATAGTCTGTTTCCAGTAAGATCGGTAAGAGAGTAATCCCAAGTCACTGAGTGGCTTTTCTGGTGACCCTGTCTTGCCTTCAAATTTTGAAAGTTCATAACCTGCAAATATAAATTTCAAGAAATTGAAATCAAACCTTACTGTAATGAATTCCTACTACAGCCTCTCCTCACTTAACAATGGAGTTCCATTCTTAAGACCACTTTGGTAAACAAATTTGTCACTAAGTGAGGAGCATACTATAATGGTAGTGGGTTTGTGTCAACCATCTTTGATATTGTTTTAATGTCACCTCTGCAGCATTTATAACATTTCTGGTATATTTTTAAATGTTTATACAGCAGTGTACTGTATATTGTAATAAACAGGATAGAGGAAAGCAGCTCTAATATACATTATTTAAATATGCATACTGAATCATCTGTAAACGAGTACGTCGCTAAGTGAGGAGAGGCTGTATTTACAACAGAGATGAATTCTTAAAGAAAAACAATAATCCCCACAGACTTTCAAATGGAAGTTTATAATCTCAAATAATAATACACTATGTATGTACATATGCATCAAAAATTTACACAATATGAGGCTTATGCTAGATTAGTTATTTTTGTTACCTAAAAGGAGAGTGAGGTGTAAAACACTGTACAAGTGGAATTCAAGCACTTTGTTTTTTGTTTTTTTTTCAAGAAAATTTGACACCAAATTATGAGTAAACTGAAAATGGATAAAACAGTGCTTTTATGTGGAAAATATTTAAAATCTATTTTGCACCAATTTTTTGAGAAATTGTTAATTTTCAAAGAGTTATCCAAAATAAAAAACTTGAACTTACTAAATTCAATAAGAAGCTTTCCATAACCTTTTCGCTGATAAGGAGGCAAAGTTAATATACAGGCCACATTGTAGTCTTCTGATGATTCTTTCTCCTGGAAACAAAATTAAACTAAGTCATCTGTTATCTTTTAGCAGTTCTGGGACACATGTTCTCCATAGTCTGGTCTCAGACCAAACCTATTAAGTTGGATAGGAAATATAATCTGATTAAGAAACACATTGGCCATTTCCCACCAAGGCAGGGTGGTCTGAAAAAGAAAAACTTTCATCATTATTCACTCCATTACTGTCTTCCCAGAGACATGCTTACACTACAGTTATAAAACTGCAACATTAACACCCCTCCTTCAAAGTGCCGACACTGTACTTCCCATCTCCAGGAATCAAGTCCGGCCTGCCAGTTTCCCTGAATCCCTTCATAAATGTTACCTTGCTTACACTCCAAAAGCACGCCAAGTCCTAAAAACCATTTGTCTCCATTTGCACCTGTCTAACACACTCATGCACGCTTGCTGGAAGTCCAAGCCTCTTGCACACAAAACCTCCTTTGCCCCGTCCCTCCAACCTTTCCAAGGCCGACCCCTACCCCGCCTTCCCTCCACTACAGATTCATATACTCTCAAAGTCATTCTATTTTGTTCCATCCTCTCTACGTGTCCAAACCATCTCAATAACCCCTCCTCAGTCCTCTGGATAATAGTTTTGGTAATCCCACACTTCCTCCTAAGCTCCAAACTACAGATTTTTTTTTTTTAACAAGTCGGCCATCTCCCACTGAGGTAGGGTGATCCAAAAAGAAAGAAAATCCCCAAAAAGAAAATACTTTCATCATCATTCAACACTTTCACCTCACTCACACATAATCACTGCTTTTGCAGAAGTGCCCAGAATACAACACATTGCCCTCAGCCATGACATCTCCACTGCCTTCAGCCTTCTCCTTGTTGCAACATTCACAACCCATGCCTCACACCCATACAAGAGTGTTGGTATAACTATACTCTCATACATTCCCCTCTTTACCTTCATGGATAAAGTTCTTTGTCTCCACAGACTCCTCAGTGCACCACTCACCTTGTCAATTCTATGATTCACCTCATCCTTCATAGACCCATCTACTAACACATTCACTCCCAAATATCTGAACACATTCACCTCCTCCATACTCTCTCCCTCCAATCTGATATCCAATCTTCCATTACCTAATTCTTTTGTTATCTTCCTCACCTTACTCTTTCCTATATTCACTTTTAACTTCTTTCTTTTCCATACCCTACCAAACTCATCAACCAACCTCTGCAACTTCTCAGAATTTCCCAAACAGTGTCATCAGCAAAGAGCAACTGTGACAACTCCCACTTTGTGTTAGATTCTTTATCTTTTAACCCCACACCTCTTGCCAACATCCGAGCATTCACTTCTCTTACTACTCCATCTATAAATATATTGAACAACCATGGTGACATCACACATCCCTGTCTAAGGCCTACTTTTACTGGGAAATAATCTCCCTCTCTCCTATGTGCTCTAACCTGAGTCTCACTATACTCGTAAAAACTTTTCACTGCTTTCAATAACCTACCTCCTATTTCATACATCTGTAACATCTGCCACACTGCCAACCTATCTACCCTATCATATACCTTTTCCAAATCCATATATGCCACAAAAACCTCTATACCCTTATCTAAATACTGTTCACCTATATGTATCACTGCAAACACTTGGTCTACACGACCTCCTACCTTTCTTAAAGCCTCCTTGTTCATCTGCTATCTTGCTCTCCATCTTACTCATAATTCTTTCAATAATAACTCAACCATACACATTACCAGGTACAGTGGTATCTTGAATTTCGAACAGCTCCCAACTCGAACAATTATGTAAGTGTATTTTTGAAAGTGTATTTTTGGGGGTCTGAAACGGACTAATCTAATTTACATTATTCCTTACGGGAACAAATTCGCTTGGTAACGGCACTCAAACAGCCTTCTGTAACGAATTACGGTTGAAATTTGAGGTACCACTGTATACTCAACAGACTTATTCCCCTATAATTTTTACTCTCTCTATTGTTCCCTTTGCCTTTATACAAAGGAACTATGCATGCTCTCTGCCAATCCCTAGGTACCTTACCCAATTCCATACATTTATTAAATAATAGCACCAACCATTCCAAAACTATATCCCCTCCTGCTTTTAACATTTCTATCTTTATCCCATCAATCCCAGCTGTCTTACCCCCTTTCATTCTACCCACTGCCTCACGAACTCCCCCACACTCACAACTGGCTCTTCCTCACTCCTACAAGATGTTATTCCTTCTTGCCCTATACACGAAATCACAGCTTCCCTATCTTCATCAACATTTAACAATTCCTCAAAATATTCCCTCCATCTTCCCGATACCTCTAACTCTCCTTCTTCTAAAAGCTTACTCACTTCGCAACAGATACAATTTTCTTCGTGATTGCATCCAAGAAATGGTCTTACCAAGATCTACTCCTCCTCAAATTGCCAACATCAAATCTCCTTTATCCGCTACAGCTCGGACCTACTTTGAAGAGTGTGCAGATGACTTAAACAATGCTACAAAGGAAGCTTTTCTCCAAGCCAGAACACTAGGCACAGCACTCCGGGGCAACATGAACAGACGCACCGCCGAAATCATTCGCAGCAGAGTTACCACAGCGAATGTTCAACAGAAGATCAGACTTACTAGGAAACTACAAACCCTCTGCAATAATAGTCATTGGAAAAGTTTAGGAAGACCTGAAATTATTCAAAATCTTCCATCTCGTCCACTGTCAACCACAGAAACTGAAGCCCTCAGCTTAGGCCTCAAATTCGCAACAGGAATTACGAAACCAAAACAAGACCTCAATTTCATCGCCAAAAACTACAGACACAATGACTCCGACTTCCAAAAAGGTTATCTTCAAGGCATCATCTCAGCAGCCATCTCAACACACAGCTCCCCAGTCATACCTCGACGTTACATCAATGCACTTAAAGGTTTAGCAGAAGACACGGCCATCAGGGTCACCACCGCTGATAAAGGAGGTGGTGTTATTATCATGAACACTGACGATTACAGGAACAAAATGCTCAATCTACTTAATGACCCAGATACCTACAAACCTCTCACAACTAACCAAGTGGACAACCTTACTAAAACTTTTCTTCAAAGGACTCGCCACATTCTGAGGGACTCAGAACAAGGGAAGAAACTTCTGCACACCATACCCAGCAACACCAGACCTGCCAGAATGTACGGCCTGCCAAAAACTCACAAGCCTGGTATCCCACTGAGGCCCATATCCTCGGGAATAGGCAGTGCTCCCCATCACCTCTCAGGAATTCTTGCAAAACACCTCTCTAAACTCTTGGGCACTATCAGTCCAGCACATCTCAAACACTCGGGTGATCTTCTCAATCGCATTTGCAACATCAACATCAGGAACAAGAAACTTTCCAGCCTTGACGTAACTTCCCTATTCACCAAAGTACCTACTACACAAGCCATCGATCTCTTGCTCAGGAAAATTGACGATTCACTTGACCTTCCTATTCCAGCCAGCGATTTCATCAACCTTGTTGAACTATGTGTTGGCTTTACATGTTTCTCTTTCAAAAATCACTTCTTTCAGCAGACTTTTGGACTACCCATGGGTTCGCCACTTAGTGCAGTCTTGGCGAACCTATACATTGAACATCTAGAAGCCGAGCGTTTCTCCACCATTATTCCTTCGTCTGTCACCTGGCTCCGTTATGTTGACGACATTCTCCTCATAACTCCTAGACGCTTCAACGTTCAAGCTCTCCAAGACAAGCTCAACCAGGTTGAGCCCTCAATCCAATTCACACTTGAAGAAGTCGACAACACTCTTCCTTTCCTTGATGTTCTTCTCTGCAAAGCTGACCATGAACTTCGTTTTTAAGTCTATTGAAAACCCACCAACCAAAATGATCTTCTCCACTTCTACTCTCACCACAACACCAAAACTAAACGTGGTGTAATTATAGGCTTCTTCCTGCGCGCACTCAGAATCTGCAGCAATGAGTTTCTTGAGGAAGAATGCGCTATAATTGAACAAGTATTTTCTAAACTCCACTATCCTCGTCACTTCATCAGAGACTGCAGACAATGGGCATTAAACATCTTCAACACACCCAGAGAAGACACTGCCGAGAAGAGATACACAGTCCTCCCCACCAACTCCATTGCCAAACACATTTCCAACATCTTTTCCAATACCTCATTCCAAGTATCTATCTCAACAACCACGACCATCAAGGACATTACCAGTAATAGACAGGACAAGCTTCCATCCTCTGCAGGGATATACATAATCCCTTGTAATGACTGCAGCAAATTATACGTGGGCGAAACATCAAGGGACCTCCAAACACGTATTTTAGAACACCAATACGCAAGCAGGTCTGGCGATACAAGGAATGCCTGTGTACAACACTGTAGTTCACACAACCATTTAATAAACTACAGAAACTCAAGACTTATCGCCAGAGAAGACAACACTCAATAACGAAGAATCCTGGAATCATCGCTTATCTCTATATCTGACAACTTCAACCAGAATAATGGCTTCTATAACATAGCTGAACCACTTGCCAAGAAACTTCTTCATCGCTATCCCACATAAGAACAAAGGAATGGAAGAACACTGCAGATTGTCTGCTCACAAACTTATCCAATCTCCCTTCCAAGCTACCCAAGATTTTAGACTCTATAACCCCACTCTGTACATCATCAGATGCAGCATTCTCCACCTGACCTCAGCATTCTGAACATGACTATAAATACTCGCGTACCTTCCACCCCAGGTAGATCTGTTTGTGACTTGAAAAAGCCCACTGTGTGGGTGAAATGTTGTCAATAAAGGATCACATTATACTGCATATGTGTTTATATTTCCACCTCTAACTCTCCATTTAATAACTCTCCTCAACTATTTTTGCCTAACAAATCCATTCTTTCCCTAGGCTTTCTCAACTTATTAATCTCACTCCAAAACTTTTTCTTATTTTCAACAAAATTTGTTGATATCTCACCCACTCCTTCAACATTATT